TCCCGTCTCCTCCTCCCTCAACTCCTCTCCTTCCTCCTCTTCTTCCTTCCTCTGCCTCCCCTCTCCTCTTCCCTCCTTCTCTCTCCTCTCCTCCTCCCTCCTCCTCCCTTCTCCCTCAACTCATTTCCTCCCTCCACCTCCCCTCTCCTTCTCCTCTTCCTCCTCCTCTCTGTCTTCCGCCTCCTCCCTCCTTCTCCCTCAACCTCTTCTCCTCCTCCTCCCCTGTTTCGCTGGGGGAAGAGGAAGTGTTTACAGAGCACCTTTCTCTATGGAGAAAGGTTTTTCTGCGCACCAGAAGGTTTTCCCTGCTGCCTGCCTCCTGCAGATGGGGCTTTGCTTGTTTGCAGCAGCCCAGTTGCTGGCCTGCCATGGGCCGGTGCCAGTTCACAGACTGGGAATCGGGGGACCCCTGTTACAGAGCCCTGCATTTGGACGGGATGGTGCCTGGCCACCTGAGGCTCCCCTGCCTTGCTCTCTCTCTTCAGGAGTTCAACACTGGGCCCCAACATTCATCCTCCTAGCGGTGCCTAGGGGAGGGCAAAGGGCCTCCACTCCCCCAGAGCCTTCGTCAGTTTGGGGGCATGGACATTGTAGTCCTACGGCTGCGCTGCAGCTGACAACCCTTGGTAGTGAAACGGGGGAAGGAAAACAACTGGGCGAATTGTCCCTGCATCCCCCGTCTGACATCAGTCCGGCCTGTGAGCCCTTGAGCTGAGACCCTCCTCCCTCCCTCCCTCCCTCCTTCCCTGCCCAACAGGCGCTGATCGGGACCGATTCCATCTCCAACTTGCACAAACTGGAGCAGGTCTCCAGCGACGAAGGCATCGGGACGCTGGCCGAGAACCTCCTGGAAGCCCTGCGGGAGCACCCGGACGTCAACAAGAAGATTGACGCGGCCCGCCGGGAGACGCGGGCGGAGAAGAAGCGGATGGCCATGGCCATGCGGCAGAAGGCCCTGGGCACCCTTGGCATGACGGTAAGGAGAGCGCCTCTTGCTCGGGGGGGGCAGGAGACCTTTGGGAAGAGTGCTGGCCCCGTGGCCCTTCTTCCTCCTCCTCCTCAGCCCCTCCTCCTCTGCTCTGCTTGGCTTGCCAGACGAACGAAAAGGGGCAGGTGGTGACGAAGACGGCGTTGCTGAAGCAGATGGAGGAGTTGATCGAGGAGCCTGGTCTGACGTGCTGCATCTGCCGGGAAGGCTACAAGTTCCAGGTGAGCCACAGAGACATTTCCCCACGATCTCCCCGGGAGGGGAGAGAGGAGCAGTGGTGGGCTGGATGCTGGTTTGGACCGGCTCACCTGGACCGGTAGTTACGACCACTGGTCGGGCCCGCCCAGGTGCTTATCCTATCGTAGAAATCTTGACGTTTTTGCTCACTTGCCCCGCCCTCGCAACCCAGGCGCTTTCCACGCTTTGCCCGATCTGCTCACCCTGGCTTCTGCGCAGGGGTGTAGATCCAATCGGCATAACAACCGGTTTGGGGAGCGCGCGCATGCGCGTCCAAAGTGTACGTGCACTCTACCAGCTCCGGCTGGTAACCTTCTCCAGCTGTGCCACGCAAAGCAGCTCAGGAGGAAAATGCAGCCACTAAAGAACAGCCTAGAGCCCGGGCGGGTGGGCAGACTAAACAGCAGACCAAAACCTCGTTCCAGCGAACCTGTTCGGTGTCAGCTGCTCTTCTGCGCTACCAGTTCTGTAGAACTGGACCGAACCGGTAGGATCTCCCCCACCCCCCGCTTCCACGTGCAGGAAATCCCCCACGGTTTGCAGCCTCACGCAAGCGTGGATATCGCACGCGCACTCACACCGTTTCGGTTCTGCGCTAGGCGAACCGGTTGTTAAAGTACGTGCAGCCCAGCCCTGGAGAGGAGAGGGACACACACAAGCCCCCCCAGTGATTTTTGAGTGAGTGGGGAGGCAGCTCACCTCACCTGCCCCTTTTTTTTCCTGCCGTAGCCCACCAAGGTCCTGGGCATTTACACCTTCACCAAGCGGGTGGCCCTGGAGGAGTTTGAGAACAAGCCTCGGAAGCAACAGGGCTACAGCACAGTCTCCCACTTCAACATCGTCCACTACGACTGTCACCTGGCCGCGGTCAGGTAAGGAAGCCCGGTTGGCGGCGGCTTTGGCATTCAAGCCAGGGCCCCGATTGATGCGAGGAAGCCCACGTGGGTCAGTATGGAGCCCGTCAGCTAATTGGGCGGGTTCTCCAGGGCAAGGGGTTTGGGGAGAGCCCCCCCCCCCCAGCTAAGATTCTGTGCGGTTCGGACAAGCCCCCAATCCCACTCCTGGCTGGAGTCTCCACGGAACCTATTTTGGAGGCAGGTAAGTGCATGGTGCGCGCAGATGTCCAGGGAAGGCAGAGAAACGGGCCTCCCGGAAATTGGGGAACGCCGCAAACGGGCCCATTTCCAACTTCCAGAGAGCCTCTGGACTCCGGGGAGGCTGTTTTCGCCCTCCCAGAGGAGCCCAGGGAGGGCAAAAATGCCCCACACCCACCCGCCATGGTGCAGGAGGCTGACTAGGCCACGCCCACCCTGGCCACGCCCACCCAGCCCCCGGGCAGAGAACCCGCTGCTAAAAATGTTAAAGTCCACCCCTGGGTTGATCCCTGAAGGACCCAGGGCCTCCGGGGTAGGGCTGGGTGAGCTCCTGCCCCGGACGTGACTTTCGTTCACCTGGCAGGTTGGCGCGAGGCCGCGAGGAGTGGGAGAGCGCCGCCCTGCAGAACGCCAACACCAAATGCAACGGCCTCCTGCCAGTCTGGGGGCCTCACGTCCCGGAATCTGCCTTTGCCACCTGTTTGGCAAGGTGAGTTGGAAGGATATGCCCTTTCCCTTGGAACACCTGTGGCACCTGGCAAGAGGCGTCCTCCCACCTGGGAGGAGGAGGGGGGGGGGGGGAGGAGCCCTTGCGTGTCTCGTGAGGTGTCCCCCCCTTGCCAAAAAAAAAAAAAAGGATCTGTTTTTGTGGCTTATCCTTCCTTAACCTCGTTCTCCCCTCCGAATCGGTCCCGAATGGCCGTGTTTAGGGCCCGGGGGACTCCGGGGGACCCAATCCACCTGTGTTTCTCCCTCGACAGGCACAACACTTACCTCCAGGAATGTACGGGGCAGCGGGAGCCCACCTACCAGCTCAACGTGCACGACACCAAGCTGCTTTTCCTGCGCTTTGCCACGGAGCAGTCGTTCAGCGTGGACACGGGCGGCGGCGGGCGGGAGAGCAACGTCCACCTGATCCCCTACATCATTCACACAGTGCTTTACGTCCTCAACACGTCAGTATCCCCCGGGCCAGTGGTGGGGTTCAAATTGTTTTGCTGCCGGTTCTGTGGGCGTGGCTTGGTGGGCGTGGCAGGGGAAGGATATGCTGCAAAGTCCCCCTTCCCTTCCCCCACCCCACCCCTAACCTGCTTTCCAGCTCCGTTCTCCTGGGCAGGGCAACCCCAAAAGACCCAGCCGATCAGCTGGGACTCAATGGGAAGCAGAGAATAGATGGGGCCAGTCAGAGATGGGATTGGCCGGTTCTCCAAACGACTCAAAATTTCCACTACCGATTTTCCAGAACCAGTCAGAACCAGCTGAAGACCCCCTTTGCCCCGGGCCCTTTGTTGGGTTTTTAAGCTCCTAGGTTGGAAGAATGTGACCGGAGGAGGAGGAGGAGGCGGTCAGCAGTTAATGGCTGAGAATGTTGACCACAGAGGGTTTGCACACTCCCTTCCTCTGCCCCACAGCCCGTCTTGGCGGCCGGTGCCATGCTGTGGTGCCAGCGAGACAGACCCTCACCTCTTATCCTGGGAGGCCTCCCCGGGCCCAAATTACTTGCAGGTAGCCCTCGACGTACGACCGCAATGGAGCCCAACATTTCTGTTGGCTGTGTGAAACATTGGTTTTAAGCGAGGTTGTCCCGTTTTACGACTTCCCTCTCTCCATTTCATCAGTGAATCCCTGCAGTCATTCAATTGGTGACCTGGTTGTTAAGTGAATCTAATTGATTTGACTCATCAGAAGGTTTGTGATGATCCAGGGTGGGATATAAAACAAACACAGTCACAGAGAACAGGGGAAGCCCCTTTTATTCCTTCACTTTGCTTCCAAGTTCTGAATATCTTTTGACGGAAGACAAAAAACTCCCACACAAACAGTTACACGGAGAAGGAAAAGCAACACAAACCAGGCAAGATAAGGGCTGGAGGATGTCCACAGATAACACACACTGGGAAGGATGCCAAACTCAGAGAGGAACTATAAACTAGAGATATTTACACACTTTGTTTCCAGCACTCACCCATACGCATGTCCGTCCCCTTATTCAGTTGTCACAGCTGCAGTCCATGAAGGAGATCAAGGCCCTCTCCTCCCCCAACAGACCACGTACCTCCTTTATCCGCTCCTCCCTGTGTGCCCTAGGATGGAGAGGGGATGGGCCTGGGTCCTCCTCTGACTGCCTAGCCGGCTTCTGCCCTTCCCCAGCCTCCTCCACAACCTCCGGAGCCCCGCTCCCACTCCCTGTTGGCTGTTCCTCCTCTCCACCAGGGGCAGTCTCCACCAGGGCCATGACAAAGGTTGCAAGAGGGGATCATGGGACCTTGCAGCCATCGTAAATATGAGTCAGTTGTTAAGCATCTCCATGTAAATCACATGACCGTGGAGGATGGGGAGGGGAAGAGAATGGTACAATGGTCATAAGTATGAAAAATGGTGCTAGGTCATGTTTTTCAGTGATGTAACCTTGAACGGTCACTAAGTGATCTGTTGCAAGTCGAGGACACTCCAGGTAGTCCTTGACTTAACAATAGTTCATTTTGTGAATGTTTGGAGTTACAAGGGCACTGAAAAAAAGGGACTTACGGTCGTTTTTCACACCGACAACCGCTACAGTGGCCACGGGATCAAAATCCGGGTGCTTGGCAACTGACTCGTATTTATGACTGTCGCGGTGTTCCAGAGTCACAGTGATCCCCTTTTTACGACCTTCTGCCCCAGTGGGGGAGCCAGATTCACTTCACCAACGTGTTGCTAACTGAACAGCGGCAGCGATTCACTTAACAACGGTGGCAGGAAAGGTCATAAAAGGGCCGAGAAATCACTCAAAAGGTCAGCTTTGCTTAACAGTGAGAATTTGGGGCTCAGTTGTGGTTGTAGGTCGAGGACTCCTGTACCCTTGGAAGATGAAGGGTCTTGCGGTGTCTATGGAGATTCTCCGTCATATCCAGGTCACGGTTGTCCCAAAGGAGATTTTTTTTCCTCCAAGAGGCAACTGGACTTTCTTGATTTATCCTTGACGGATGTTTCGCTTCTCATCCAAGAAGCTTCTTCAGCTCCGACTGGATGATGGTGGGGAATGGAAGGATTGATACTCCTTGCAGACAAAGCTGGTCATTTGCATCCTTTTAGAAGGTCATTGAGGCCCCTTGGAGGTCTATCTGTGTCCTCAGGGTCACCTGAGTGGTGCAAATGTGTGTGGAGCCTTCTACAACACAGTCCTTTCACCAGTTCCAAGAAGGCTCCACACCCATTTGCACCACTCAAGTGTCCTTGAGGACACAGATAAACCTCCAAATGGCCTCCTGACTCTAAAAGGATGCAAATGACCGATTGTCCGCAAGGAGTATAAATCCTTCCCACTGTCCAGTCAGAGCTGAAGAAGCTTCTTGGATGAGAAGCAAAATGTCTTCTGAAGAAAAAAAAAACCAGAAAGCCCAGTTGCCTCTTGGGAAAAAGGGGGTTTGGGAGACACACACGCACACAGACACACACACACACCCCAATGGAAGAAGAGCAGGACTCCTGCTGGCCTTGTCTCCTGCTTGGCCCTTATTACCTAAGACATGCCCTCTGCCTCCTGCCCTGCAGAAAGGAGGTCTTGGGTGGGGAAGGGTTTCTCCATTCCAAGGCCCTCCCCCCCCCTTTCGACCGCCTCTCTTTCCTTCCTTTGCAGGACGCGGGCGACTTCCCGAGAGGAGAAGAACCTGCAGGGCTTCCTGGAGCAGCCGAAGGAGAAATGGGTGGAAGGTGCCTTCGAGGTGGACGGCCCCCATTACTACACTGTCCTGGCGCTTCACATCCTGCCCCCCGAGCGGTGGAAGGCGCTGCGCATCGACATCCTGAAGCGCCTGCTCGTCATCTCCCACGCCCGGGCGGTATCCCCGGCGGGAACGAGCAAGTAAGCCCACGAGACGGAGCTGGGGTGCGGCAGGCAGGCAGGCGGTCCTCGATTTCACACCCGTGTCAAAAGTGTCCCTAAAAGCCGTCCCTTTTTTTTTTATTCCGGGGCCTTCGTAACTTTGAACGGCCCCTGCGTGAATCGTCGTGAGTCGAGGACGAACTGCGATCATGATGGGAGTTGCCCTGCCCCAGGGGTGTCAAACGCAGTATCATTGAGGGCCACATCAGGGTTGTGTTTGACCTGGGGGGGGGGGGGGGGGGGGGCGTGGGGCGGGGGGGGCGTGGCCAACAGGACATCACTTGTGGTTTGGGGGGGGGGGGAGCTCCTATGATGCCCCGAGCTCTCTGCCAGTGAAAACAGGCTCCCGAGCTCCGTTTTCGGCTACGATGGCCTCCTGCAGCCCTCTGCCAGCGGAAATGGAGCTTGGAAGGGCCGCGTGCTGACTGCTCAAGCTCCGTTTTCAGTATATGTTTTATTTGTCAGGATTCCAGCAGTTACCCCCTATTTAAATCGTGAGTCTCAAGCCAAACTTCAAAAGGATTTATTGGGAGTTAGCATGTCTGGCACTGCCTGGGTGTAGCCGACTCTGAGACACATCATTCATTGTCACCCTTGACCCTGGTTTTTCCCGCCACTCCCCTGGGTGTATCATAATTCATATTCTCCAATGGGACACATCCGTAGCCCAGAGTCATCAATCATGCTCTCCGGTTAGATATTTGCATGTCAGAAACTTCAGTCACCTAGTCACTATCTTTGAAAAACTACTTATGGAATGCACTTTCGGTTTGCAAGCTGCCACACTGCTCTTCCAAACCTCTTTCCCCCCTCCCTTTCTGTTGGCAACTCTAAAAAGATCATAGAAATATCATATGAGTTGACATTATTTTTATTCGTAAACATTTTGAATGCAGTGTATCATCAGTGTGTATCATTTACAAAAAAAGTAAGAAAATAAACATATCAACATGTATACTAATAATAATGGGGTAACGGAATATTTTTAAGTAAATGTCTCTTAGTTGTAATTCTGTTAATTATATCAACATGCTTCTAATTATAAACCTTTTATATTTAATTCATACATAACAATAATCTTCCTTCGCCTAATCTCTATCTCTTATCTCTAACCACTCGTAAAATCTATTCCATGTTAGGTGACATTCTGTGTCATCTTTGTCCTTTATGTTTAATGTCGATCTACCCACCTCTGCGCAGTCTAATATTTTTCCGAATTACGTCCTCATCTGGTGGAGCGTTCTCATTTTTCCAGTGTTGTGCAAATACAATCCTCGCCGCTGTCCATGCGTGCAAAATTAAATATACAGCCTCTTTATCGTAGCCCTCTGGCCTTATACCCAACGAAAGGCTCCCTGTTTGCTGGCAGAGGCACCGCAGGCCCGTTCTTCACTGTTTCCGGGGTGGGGGGGCCCCCGCGGGCCAGATCCAAGCACCCCGCAGGCTGCAATCTGGCCCCCAGGCCTTGACACCCCTGCCTGCCAAATCTCCAACTCAGTTCACCTGGGGAAGGCTGGATTTGGGGGTCGCAGTCAGGGGGGGGACTGATTTGCTGCCTTCCAGGGTCCCAAAGGTGCTTTTCTCAGGAAGCAAATGGACTTCCTTGATTTTTATTTTTATTTTAAATTTGGAAGATGTTTCGCTTCTCATCCCCGAAGCTTCTTCAGCTCTGACTGGATGACGGTGGGGAAGGGAAGGATTGATAACTCCTTGCAGACAGAGCTGGTCCTTTGCATCCTTTCCGAGAGTCCTTGAGGCCGCTTGGAGGTTTACCTGTGTCCTCGGGGTCACCTGAGTGGGGCTCCTGGTTCAGTTGCCTCCAGAAAAAGCACCTTTGGGACAGCCATGACCCGGAAGACTGAGAATCTACACAGACCGCTCCCCCCCCCGGGCGGGGGGTGGTCCTGACCTGAAGGAGGGGAGCTCAGGTGCCATCCAGGAGCCTTGGGGGTCGATCCCCCTTTTGTCATCTGCTTCCCAGAGCGAAGGAGGAAGGAAATCCCCCCCATGCCCCCCCAAGGATGGGCTGTGGAAGTGACTCGCGGGTTCAGCAGCCTGCCAGGGCTTCACTCTCCCCCCGCCCCCCGCCCCGTGAGAAAAAGGACTTCCTGTTTCTGACATGACCCCAAAATGGGCTGCAGGCTACCAGTTCGGTGGGCGTGGCTTGGTGGGCGTGGCAGGGGAAGGAAACATGAAATCCCCATTTCCCTCCCCACCCCGCTAACCTGCTTTCCAGCCCCCTTCTCCTGGGCAGGGCAACCCAAGGAGACCCAGCCGATCAGCCGGGACTCGATGGGGGGCAGAGAAGAGAGATGGGGTTGGCGAGGCCAGTCAGGGGTGGGATTGGCTGGTCCTCCCAACGACTCCAAATTTCCACACCTGGTATCTCGAGAACCAGTCCGAACCGGCTGAAGACCCCCTCTGGCTGCAGGGGCTCCAGAACCAGACTAGGCTGGAGAGCAGCAGCGTTGGGGCTTGGGGTTGGTGCAGGAAACGGGGGGCAGCTCCAGGCCACCTGTAGTGGTCATGGGTCACTGGGTGTGCCTTTCCCCTCTCGGTGGTCTCCTCCTCGCCCTTTGCGGGCTGGAATTAATCTGCCCAACCCCCCGTCCAAGGCGCCTAATGGCCTCTCTCTCCCCTCCCAACAGGCTGACGGACAAAGCCGTGAAGGACTACGCTGCCTATCGCTCCAGCCTCCTCTTCTGGGCCCTGGTTGATCTCATTTACAACATGTTCAGAGTAAGTGCTTGGTGGCCGAGGGGTTTCCCGTTGACGCATGAGCTGCCAAGAGTGAGGGCACAGGGCGCCACACCGGCGATGGTGTGCAGTTCCAGTGAGTTGCCATGCAACGGCCTGCCCTCCTCAGCCTCTTTGGTAGAGGGGCCAGAGCTTCTGAGCAGAGATCCGCTCTCCAACTGTCCACCAAGCTGAAAAGGGGAGTCCGTTAGGCCCCCCCATTCACCCCCAGAAGGGTTGGTTAGGCCAGGAAAGGCCCTCCACCCCAGGGGACAGTTTGACAGAGCCCCTATTTCCAAGCTAGGTTTTAGTCTTGGCCTCTCCCTTCCTTCCTTCCTTCCTCTTTTCCCTCACATCACTTTCTTTCTTTCTTTCTTTC